GTAGGGATTAGAGAACACGCGGAGACCTCTCCTCTTAGGCCCCACGAAAAATCTATTGGTGTTGTCGCTGGTCTTGTTCTTGTCAACAATATCGGATCAATATTCAATACACAATAAATTATGGTCGAATCTAGAGATGTCAATCGGATAACAACTTTTTGGTATACCGATACCAAACCGATGCCAACTTGGTATTTGGTATTTCAAGGCGAACGCATTTGGTATTTTGTTGTTTTTATGAATCCACTCTAATGTAAAAGAGGCTGAGAATTTGGTAAAAAGTTTGTATTTCCCTCATATTCCCAAGTCGGTTCGGTTTCGGTATTTCTCCATGGGTATTGTTGGTATTTGGTTTAGTATCGGTATCACGATTTTCCGCAATTGACATCACTAGTCGAATCCCGTCTCTCAGCAACTTTCGCTGACGGTAAGCAATTATCGGCTAGTAGGTATTAGTTGCCCATTTCCAGCAAGCAGCAGCGCACGACTGGATCATACAGCAGGTTAACTCGCGCCCCGCTGCACTGGGGTCTGCCGAGCAGCGCGCCCTGCTGGGGCGGGGGGGGGGGGGGCAATTTGGCCCCCTAAGATCTCAAGAACCACGCAACATAGCGACAAGCGGCAAACGGTGTTGGATAGCCCAATAGGGAACTACCTTGTGACCCAATTTCATTGACCTAGGTCAAACCGATGACGTCACAGGTCAGGTCAAATGTCGAATTTTCACCGTTTACAGGCATTTCAAGAAATACGTTGTAAAATCGAGTAAAATTCATTTTCATTGAGAACCATCGATGGGGAAATGCTCGTCAAACACATATTTTGCTATCTAAGGTCACTGATACCAGGTCAGGTCACAGAGGTCAGGTCACTGAGGGTCACAATATGAAAATATCATGTGATGCATGTTTTATGATCCATTTTATATGCCAAACACGATTATGTGGGTCAAGCAGCCTTTGGGGTCAGTTTAGATTATGTTCGGGTGAAGATCAGGTCAAGGTCAGTTCATGGTCAGGTCAAATTAGGTCAAATTTCAAAGTTGATATTTTTGCATAAAATGGGTGCCTATCGATTCGATGCAGCTCGTCACGGGGAGTTCAATAGTGGTCTTTGTTTTGCGCTACGAAGTCTAGAATTGCTAAAAAGTTGAGTTCAAGAATTTGACGTCATCAATTTTGAACAGTTTTTTTTTCGCTATAACTTGGCCAAAAAGGGAGCTATCGATCTGAAATTTGGTATATATATAGAATAGTGCAGGGACTATCACATATATTCCGTTTTTTAAATTCGGAAAACAATTTTGGGATTTTTTGCGTTTTTTCTAAAAAAATCAACTTTCTGAATTTTAAGGGGTCAGAATCCCAAAATTCTTAAAATCCGAGATAACAGTTTTGTAGCGCCGCCTTTTGTCTACATGACCATATAAAGAATTTTGAAATTGCTTGGCAACTGTAGCTTTTGTGAGCGTTTCAAGATCTCATATTTTTGCTCATTTTTGCTCGAACATGACCTCAGATCATTGACCTCAATAACTCCTGACCTAAGGTGGCCTAAGACTTGAAATTTTGTGTGGAGGTGTCAAATTGATGCCCGGGAAGTTACTGAAAATTTGGCGGCGCTGCGCGCCACCGTTTTCTTGCTATTGAGGAAAAACCACAGGAGGGGCCAAATTGGCTCCCAGCGGGGTGAGGGTTAAATTATTCATTCGTGAATGCTTCACTTATTATATTACCAATCCCTGAGCGGCTCCACGTCACCCTTCAGAAAGCTAGCAGCGCCACCTGTCTTGTCCCGTGTCATAGCTACCTGGCGTTACGTTAGTTAACCACTACTTCATCTCTCGGCCGCTAGGTGGCCAACTAATCCGACCGAGCCCATAACAATGCAGGGTCCGGTTGGCCTTGGCCGATTTCCGTTGCTGCCTCGTCGGCCGGGGGCGCCGCTGCAATCGGCTCGCTGCATCTAGGCCACGTGACGACAAACAGGAGCTGATGGTTTTTCGTCGCTGCGACCCTGACTAGAGGCCGGATAGGCTGAAGAAGTTGCCTTGTGAGCACACGAGAATCGCATACAAAGACGCGAGCGAGAAATCCAAAGAGAGATGGGATCGGGGTCAAGCTGATCAACAAAACCAACGGCTTGCACCTTTCCGTGCTTCTATCCTCAGGATACTGAAATCCTTCTCCTCCACGCCGCAACCCCCTTCCGGGCTGGACAGGCAACTTTATCTCATGCGGGCTGCTCCCTTGGAGCGGCACCGCTGCTCCCGAGGGAGCGCACCCCGTAGCCGGGTGCAGTGAGTGCCTTGGGGCTGGGTGGCCTGTCCTCTGGACGGGCTCAGCCCCGGCGACTCACTAGGGTGCCTGCCCAGACCAATGTCTCCCCCTAATTCCTATCATCCTTCCGGCTCTGCAATGGTCTTGACGACCGAAAGGGCCTAACCCAACAAAACAAACAAAAACAAACCAACGGCTTGGTAAACATGAACATCACCGTTCCGTGCTTCTATCCTCAGGATACTGAAATCCTTCTCCTCCACGCCGCAACCACCCTCCGGGCTGGACAGGCAACTTTATCTCATGCGGGCTGCTCCCTTGGAGCGGCACCGCTGCTCCCGAGGGAGCGCACCCCGTAGCCGGGTGCAGTGAGTGCCTTGGGGCTGGGTGGCCTGTCCTCTGGACGGGCTCAGCCCCGGCGACTCACTAGGGTGCCTGCCCAGACCAATGTCTCCCCCTAATTCCTATCATCCTTCCGGCTCTGCAATGGTCTTGTCAGACCGAAAGGGCCTAACCCAACAAAACAAACAAACAAACAAACATGAACATATTTCATTGCTATATTCGTTATGTTTTACTTACATATTGCAAAGAGTGGGTAGCAAAGCTTATACTGATAAAAACATCGTTTAATGTGAAAGGTAGAATGTTGCTGTCCTTTGTGAACTGCCTTGGCAGATACAAACCCGTTATTGTAAGAGATGAAGTAATAATTTGCTGTCACTGCTATATTAAGTATTGGTTTTAATTTTTTTCCAATCGCTTTCATTTGATCTAAACATTTAAATCCATATCCAATATGCATTTAAATCAGTGAATATCAATTTTGGCTTCGCATAGGTAATTGTTTAAAGAAATATAGGTACCTAACGATAATATACACATACTTATTTTGCATCATTAATGATTCTCCAAAAACACTGCAACATATCAAGCTCTACAATATCTTTGTGTCAAAAGACAAAACCATATGAAATAAGAAGTGTGCAAGAAGGTTTCAAACCACAAACATGATATGATTAATGTTAAATCATTTGAGGAATAATAGAAAAGTGATAAGGAGTGCTTTGCGCCTTACTTTTTAGTTTGAGAGCAAAATATGTACATTTTAACACACAAAAGAAAGCAGCCGGGTACAATGGATACTTAGATAGAGATGTCAATCGGATACCAACTTTTTGGTATACCGATACCAAACCGATACCAACAGGGTATTTGGTATTTCAATCCTAATGTACTTGGTATTTTGTTGGTATTATGAACCTTCATTTATGTATAAGAGGCGGAGAAATTGGCTAAAAGTCGGCATTTCCCGCATGTTATGAAGTTGGTTCGGTATCGGTATTTCTTCATGCTTTCCAAATTCTGGTTTAGGTGGACTTTTCAAGATTTTTTTCTGATTTACTGTGGACATTCTGTTTTGGTGGACCCAAAAAGTCCACGTAAAAATAAACGCACAGAACACCTTTTAGCTGGACGTAAACGTATCCGAAAGAACAAGTCTGTTTCGGTGGACTCAAAAATTGTCCACCTTAGGCGCCATCTATCTCTAAACTAAAAAATTTGATGGTTCGTAGTTCCAATATCTGCCACAGGCGGCGCTACCATCGGCTGGCTCTGTGTTGAAGCTCGGAAACGCACGCCTTGATCAGCGCGGGCTAGCGCGGGCATGCAGCAAAAACGTAACATGATATGATTTATAGTGTGGTCTGTGGAATGTGAAGCGATCAAAATAGACGTTTGTTTTATTTTTAAAAAAATGTAAAAATAAATTAATTATATTATGTATCTTAGAAACCCGTGAATTAGAGTATGATGAAGTTTTGTGTAGTTGCAACAACACTGTTTTTTGTTGCGGTGTTATCGGCGCGGCACGGCTCACCGCGTGGCGGTGTCAGTGTTGGGATTTGGAAGAGATAAAGCTTTGGGTGGTACTATTTTGTGTTTTTTTTTTTGTGCTGGGAGCTTTTTGAAGTCTGTGAGGTAAGTGGAAATTATTTGTAGACATCTATTTGTTGGATACTGGTATTGCATAGTACCGATTTGCCCAAGATTTGCCATGCGATTGTTTGGGCCGGACTTAGCAGGCGTCACACTTCTTTTTGCAACCAAGGAGCGGGGCCGGATGGTCATTGGTCACTATACCCAGAGATGCTTTCTAATCAAACCAAACCAAAATAGACCTAACCAAACCTAACCAAACCTGACCTAACCAGTACAACCTACAACCTACAACCTACAGCCTAAAACCTACAGCCTAAAACCTAAAACCTACCACCTAAAACCTACAACCTAACCTACAGCACCTCTCCTTGGTTGCTAAAAGAAGTGTTACGCCTGCTTTACGACTACCCTTGAAATGTGGCTAGGCTATACTTGCTATTTCTTAAATACTTGCTATGATAAGTATTGCTTAAATTTGTTGTGTTGCTTAAATACTTGCTTAAATACTTGCTAAATACTTGCTATTTCTTTACAAGATCTCAGGCCTCGGGGTCAATTAATGATGAAGGTACTCTGGCTCCTGATCAATTCAACAAAATGCAGGGCTGCCCTACGTTGTGCACTAACCTGTTTGAAGTATGTACTTGTGTTCAGGATCCCAATCTGAATCCAGTTTAGGGGAAAACACCATGTTTATAAGTGTAGGTTATAGGCAGTGGCGCCGGGCGCGGGAACCGGGGGTTAGCGGGGGCTGAGCCCTTCTAACTTTTTGGCTGGGGGGGGGGGGCTCTTAATTTATTTTAGCCCCTCCAACTGGACGAATTGAAGGTGGATTTTTAACTTACATGCTGTGTGACCCACAACCCCTAATTTGGGGAGGACAAGCTGCCCTAACAGTTCCTGGTCTCATGAAAAGTTGTGGGGCACTGCTCCCACAGCCCCAGAGTTGTGGGAGCAAGCTTCCCTCACTGCCTTCTCCCCCGGTTCCTGTGCCTCTGTATGAATCTATGAAATTATGTTGGTAGATTTCCGATTTTGATTCCTCCAGCTGTGAGGAGGGGGGGGGGGCTCAAATACATAATGAGCCCCCCAGCCGAAAAGTTGGAGGGGCTCAGCCCCCGCTAGCCCCCCCCCCGGTTCCCGCGCCTAACTAGGTCATTCAAAGACATTTTGTGGTCATGATCTCTTAGTGTATTGTCAATAGGCCAAAGCTTGAAGAGTCTCTCAATCCCAAATGGTTTTCAGCTCAGTTTTAGCATTTTTTTAATCTTATGGGTCACCTTTAATGATATTAAGACCCACTTTAGCCTTATGACCTTAACTTATGGGTGGGTCCCCCAATGACCTTAAGGTCAAGTAACGTTTTCGCCTATAACTTTGCACCTAATTAAGCTACAGCTTTCAGCGTAGGCTCATTGTGTTCAGCTCGACGAGACGAATCGAATGCTATGCAATATTAGGCATTTTGGCCATCTTAAGTATGTAAGTGTTTAAGTAGTGCTTAACTTCTTAAGTACACTTACCTAGTAAAATTGTATATCATTCGATGCGCAAGAGCAAGCTGAGCACGATGGCGTTTGCCGTTTATCTTTCTCTTAAATAGATCAAAAGTTATAAGCAAAAAACTGCATGAGTAAAATCGCGACCTTGTGACCTTTTGTGACCTACAGGACTTAAGAGGTTCAGGTTAAGCAAAAGTTAAGTATAGGGTTCGATTGGGCTTGTTCCAAGCTTTTGAATGGCTTCCTAAAATTTGTTCTAGCTGTTATAAGTTCTGAGATATAGCGATATTTCTTCCAAAAACGCCGATTTGGGAAAATATTGGCCTTTTAACCCCCCAAAACCCCCTTAAACACGACCCTTGGGGAACGAAGTTTGCGGGAGGGCGAGACCTCTGTTCGTAAGGTATCGAGGTAAGGTATAAGGTAAGGTATAAGGTTTATAAGGTATCGTAAGGTACCTCTGTTCGTAAGGGCGAGTTCGTAAGGTATCGAGATATTTATCCTTTGTACTTTCTGTTGTGTACTTTCGGTTGTGTTTGCTCTGTCACACTGCCACCAGCGGTCCTCGTGTGCCCTATCACTGTGTTGGGTCATAGTGTTTTGTCTGTGTGGCCGCCAGGAGCGTCAAATGCAGTCGGCGCTACGGCTGGCCGTGTCAGCGACCCACCGGCTCGGCCACGGCCAACAGGCAGCCGACTCCGACGTCAAGTAGGCGCTACGGTTCCTGACGCCAGCAGGAGCACTTGACCAGCAGCTCACCGCCACCGCACAGGACCTGGCACAGCTCGGCACAGGTACACGATCTTATTGATCTGATGCTTGATAACGCTTGTCAGAGTTTGTTTTCACCTTCGTGACCTTTACTTAAGGTAGGTAAATACTTAAGGTTAATACTATACTGATGCGTGCACCGATTGTTTATGTGTCCCTATTAAATTAGATCATAAAATGAGAAACTTTTACTGTTCGTGTGAATCGTGATCGTTCACTCTGATCCAGCACGGCAGACCAAAGTGTTCGTGTAATCGTCAAGTTCACTAATAATTGCGTATCTGATCGAATCGTTTCATTAACCGGAGGACCAAAAGACTTCTTTGATGAATGTCTATTTCTTGAATATTCACCACACAATGCACGTTAATCGTATCGTACGACGCCGGCGCCGTTGCGCCGGCGGAGCCGCGTCGCCGTCGTCGTCGCGTCGCGAACTGCCGAGCCGGCATGCGTCGGGCCGGTCATCGCACACATGTGCCCCAGATGACCACGCGGGCCCCAGTACACCACGTGGGCGGCGAGGCTCGGCTGAGCCCGCCGATCGCTGCCGTCTCCTCCACGGCACAGTACGTTTTCTCTCGAACATGGCCGGCCCGAATTTTCGCCTCGCTCGCGGAAATTCTAAACGTAAGAGAGAAAACATTAGCGAAACAACAAACAGCTGCTCGCAGGCAGTGTCTCTGTCTGTATCGTACAGCAATAAACGACCACTAAAGCTAAGACTGTAAACTACGTCGGCTGCGCCGCGCGTCGGTCCCGATCTAAGACTGCTACACTCTAAGGCTGTAAACTTCTAACTCGTACAAGACCAACCGGCTAAATGAGCTAGGAGCGACACTGCGACAGTGTGAACGCTGGCGACTGTCGGACGGCTCACAGCTGTTGGCTAATGGCTAAACACCAAACACAAATGACCGGCGCACAGAATGAACGACTCATTCTCGCACACGCACACGTTAACACCGCGAATGGCGGACGCAGTAAACACTAATAGATGGCCAGACTCCGACACTACTCGCCGGCGGCACAGAGGGGTCGTAAACGACTCACCTCAGTCGTCTCACACGCGCACATTACCACTCTGAGTCCATTTACTGTCCGTCACCGTCGCGCTCGAGACGGCAGAGACCAGAGACCGACCGCCTATTCCGAATTTCCGACCAGTGGCGGTGGCCACTTTGACCACCTGCACTCGGCTGTCGGCGCCAGGGAACACGGTCACCACTCGCTCCAATAGCCAGTGCCCGCGAGGCAGGTTGTCCTTTGTCACCAGCGCTAATTCGTCGAGCTGCACGTCTGCCGGGTCTGCGCGTCACTTCACCCGTGTGGTGAGCGTCCGGAGGTGCGGCCCGGGGCCGGCTTGCCCACTTGGAAGGCTGTAGGTCACTCGTCGGCGTCGGCGCTGGCTGGGCTGACCGTTTCCGGCACGGCATGCAGGCAGGTGTGTACCGCTCCGCAGCGGCCCTGCCACTGATGACCCAGAATTGGTGCCGCAGGTGAGTCAAAACGTGCTCTGCGCCAGAATGGGAGAGCTTCTTGTGTCGATCGGTGACTATCAGCCGAGTGATGTCTCCGCGTGCAGGTAGAATCACCCGGTGCTTGACCTTGAAGTCTAGCTGAGCGTGGCGCAGCTGGCCCCCGACTCTTAGAAGGCCGCTCGAGTCCAGGAAGGGGTTAAGCCGGTGCAGCTGGCTGTTCGGGGGAAGCCGCCTTCCGTGCTGGAGAGCGGCGATATCATCGCCGAAATGCTCGGCCTGTGTGCTGAGCAGCCAGACGCGCTCAGCTTCTCTCAGCTCTTCAGCAGTCAGCGGTCCCGTCCGCCGATCAGCTGCTGCCCGGCTGCGGCTGTTGTAAGCGAACCTGCGCACCCACGCTGTCACACGCAGCAGCCTGAGCCACGATGAGAACCGGCTGGGGTTTATGGCCGGCTCCGCTCCCCTGATGGCGCAGGCTGGTGCTCTCATTTCGGCCGTTTCCTCGTCTCTCGGGCGCTCTGTCGGGCGGGGCGGCGTGGCGGGCCGGTCCTGAGGACGGCGCGACCTTGGCCCCACTCTTCGCCCGGTGCCACCTCAGCCACCGAGCAGCCTCGGCTGCCTATGTTCGATGAGTTCAGTGACCCTGGCACGTTTTGCCATCGAGTCACTTCCGAAGCGTCCTGGGTTTCCTCGCTGACACGGATATGGTGCACGTCCTTGTTGACTGGCAGGTTCTGGTCCGGCGCGCGGCCGGTGACCGTCCAGCCGAGCAGTGTTCTCACGGCGCACAGCGCACCCGGTGGTCCGTCGATCACCTCACGTGCCACGATCAGTTCTATGACGTCAGCGCCCAGAAGTACTTCTACTGGACCTCGAGTCGCACTCGGCAGATCCAGGTCAGCGAGATGAGGCCATTTGCCCTTCTCCCGTGACCAGTCCATGGCGTGATTTGACACACTCAGCGTCGGCGTCGTTTGGGCGTTCCGTATTTCGTGACGTGTGCCACCGCTGCTGACAGGCTCGATCACGAAGGACACACGGCGTGATCTGAGTCTTTCACTTCCGTTTATGGTACTCAGGACCGAACTGTCAATGGGTCCAGAGATGCCGAGACGGACGCTCAGGCCTTCGGATACCAGCGTTACCTGGCTCCCGAGGTCGAGAAGCGCGTGGGTCGTGCAGCGCCCAGCAGGACCATGCACCGTTATCGGCAGTGTCTGCAGCAGCACCTTACAGGGTGGCGCGACCACCGCAGTGCCGACATGTTTCACTGGTGACGGCGCGCTGCCGGCAGCACTGCGCCGTGGAAACACACGGCCTCCGTTGTGCAGAAGCGTGTGGTGACGTTTCCCACAGTTCTCGTGTCCACAGTTTGTACCGGACGGGCACGCGGCGCTGATGTGACCTCGCGCAAGACAATTGAAGCAGAGTCCGTTACAACCGGCAACCTCTGCTCTCTCGCTCGCTGTCAGCTGTAGGAACCTGTCACAGCGCTCTACGACATGTGTCCCCTGACAGAATACACATGCGTCCTCACTCGCGACCGGCGCTGCCTTTATTACGGAGCGAGCGAAGCGAGCGGAGTCTCATACTGAATTAAGGGAAAATCCTGAGTATGAGCGGCCGGCCGGCCGGCCGGCCGTGGGGACGCTCTTCAAAAGCTAATATCTTAGGAACGGGACATCCGATTGACAAGCGGACTCTTTACTGAATGTCACTTGGACGTAAAAGTTCTGTGGTGTGATGGCCACCATGCGTTCTTGCCAACCACCGCACGTGGCGCGTGGTAAAGTTGGACATTTTTTAAGAACCCCCAAAATTGCAACCTCAATAACGGCACAACGGTTGGGCCGATTGAATTGAAACTCGGTACACAGTTAGGTCTCCATCAGATAATTCATCTGCATGTGTTAAGGTTGGGGTGCTACAGCACGTGCGCACGTGCAGGGGGCGCTCCCAGATCTCGAGAACGGCTGGGCCGATTGCGCTCAAATTTGGTACACGGCTGGGGACCAGTTAGTAGGGTGCCGTGCAAAAGTCAGTTTGGACCCCGCTTGCACGTGCGCACGTGCAGTGTGCCGCTTCCAGATCTCGAGAACGGCTAGGCCGATTGCGCTGAAATTTGGCACATCGCTAAAGACCGGTTAGTAGGGTGCAGTGCACAAGTTAGTTGGAGGTAACCCCTCGCAATTTCGCACGTGCAAGGCCCATCCTCTCGCTCGCTCCGTTGGTCGCCCAAAAGGCGTTTTACTGGTTGCACTAATTTTCGGTTTTACGACCTCTCGGGGCGCGGCCGGCGCTAGCGCAGTCGCGTAAACACGCCGCTGCCGGCTCTCCCCACTGTTGACCTCGGCCTTGGATTGCTGGTGGCCCGTCAGGGTCAGGGACGCACGCCCAGCAGCCACGTAGCCGCGCAGCCAGCTGTCCAGGTCGGGGAGCGTGGGGCGGACGAGTCCGTTGTGCACAGAGTGCTCGCCCCATTTCAAAGCCAGCGCAGCAGGAAGCTTGGAGATCACGGCTGTTACATTGGTGGCAGCCGAGATGTCCGCGTCGTAGTGAAGGCACTGTAGCACACGAACCGCGGTGCGAAGGTCACGTGACAGCTCTGTCACAGCCGACATATCACCATCTTTCACCGGCCGCGAATCGAGCAGTTTTTTCATCGTCGCGTGAATGACCCGTGCAGGGTCACCGAACTCCTCCTCTAGCTCACGCATAGCCTCACCGTACAGAGAAGAGTCGCACAACATACCGCGCACTGATTCCTTGGCCGGCCCGGTGAGATGAGCCTGGAGATAGGTCAGGCGCTCGACGTCAGTCAGGTCGTCTCGATCGTGCACTAGAGCCCTGAACAGCGCGATCCATCTCGGCCATTCCAGAGCGGAGCCGCTGAACTTATCCAGGGTCACTCGAGGCAGCTGTGGAGTCGTTTGCTGTCTCACGGGCTGTAGCGGACGTCGTGCTTCCTGCTGGTGACGGTCGTCGTATGGCCGCGCGCTCACCAGTTGTCCGTACTGGGAGGACTGCTCCACCCAGTCCCGGGTGCGTGAGGACCTGTCACCCGGCTGCAGCGGCTCACCCAGCTGGGCGGCTGGCTCACTTGGAGCTGCGGCAGCAGGCCGAGCTAGAGCCTGACGGTCGACTTCAGATGGCTGGTGGTCATACTCCTCCTCCTCGAGCAGCTCCAGCTCCAGCTGACGGCGTTCCGCTTCGTCGGCGAGCTGTTGAGCTTCGAGAGCTGCCCGCTGTCGTGCCAGTTCCGCCTGCGTCTCCGCCTCGCGACGCGCCCGCTCCGCCTGCGTCTCCGCCTCTTGCCGTGCCAGCTCCACCTTTGCCGCGGCCGCTCGCTGGCCCTGCTCCGCTGCGAGTTTGCTCAGCGCGGCTCGGCGGCGGGCTGCGCTGATGGTGGACGACGCTGCGCTGCCGAAGGTCTCGCTGCGGGTATGGCATGTCCGCGAGCTGCGCGTAGATTTCGCGTCACACTGTGCGACCGCCCTTGCGTCCGACCTGGCGTTCGATTTCGCGTCGGATTTTGCGTCTGACATCACTCCTTCACTGCACTCGCGTCCGGACTGTACGTCCATTCACTCACTAGTTCAACATCCGGCCCGGAGGACCAAAATGTTCGTGTGAATCGTGATCGTTCACTCTGATCCAGCACGGCAGACCAAAGTGTTCGTGTAATCGTCGAGTTCACTAATTATTGCGTATCTGGTCGAATCGTTTCATTAACCGGAGGACCAAAAGAGTTCTTTGATGAATGTCTATTTCTTGAATATTCACCACACAATGCACGTTAATCGTATCGTACGACGCCGGCGCCGTTGCGCCGGCGGAGCCGCGTCGCCGTCGTCGTCGCGTCGCGAACTGCCGAGCCGGCCGGCGGCGGCCGGCCCGGCGCGTCGGGCCGGTCATCGCACACATGTGCCCCAGATGACCACGCGGGCCCCAGTACACCACGTGGGCGGCGAGGCTCGGCTGAGCCCGCCGATCGCTGCCGTCTCCTCCGCGGCACAGTACGTTTTCTCTCGAACATTTACCAAAAATACAGTCAAAGAACTTCACGAAAAGTAAATTCAGCTTGCCTAAAACGCAATGTTTTTAGATGACCTAGGTTGTACAGACACACAAACCCACAGACATACAAACACATATCAGTGACCTTGACCTAACTTGACCTGAAATGGCCTCAGCCAGCCAAAACCTAGTCGGATAGTGTAACAAAGAGGTTCTTGCTGGCTTGGCACCACAATACGTCAGCGTCATCGGTATATGATAAGCAGCGCACTTGATATCCAACGGTGACCCCAAACAGCAACATTTTTTAGTTTGACCTGACCTGGAAGGTCACTGACTGACCTGAGAAGGTAAAACTGTGTATCATTGGATTCGTCTCTTCCCAAAAATCTTTTTAGTCTTTACCGCGAAGCTCTATCTCCAGCAGGAACGAAATGGCGCGGGGGTGGCAACCCCCCCCCCCCATGTGCGTTCTAGGATGGGAAAGTGGCATGTGCGGGCGAGGGTTAAATTGCGTAGTTGAATTCACATGCTGAACGAACTTCATCACCGGAACTTGTAGATCGTATAACAAAATGTGACCCGGGTTGCAATGTACAGTACATTCTAGGTATGTCAAGGCGTTAGTGTGACTGGTTAGTCAATCTGGTTGTGAATTTATCGTTGGTGGGTCCAGTGAATAATTATAAGCTTGTTTACTTTGTGTCTCTTGTTCTGGTGTAATTGCCTGCATTATCTCTAAGTCATTCGTTCCATAGATATTTTATCTACATGAAGATGCCCATCCAATGTCGAAACACTTTATTTTCTGCCGTCTGACTGCTTTACACTCGTGATCGATGGTATCAGCATTCTCCTTGGTAGAAAACGAGTAAAATGAGATGTTCAAAGGTCATCGACCATCACTGTCGTCAAAATATTTCAGTAAAGTCGTACCTTATTTCGTTTTCGGAAACCTCCTTGGGGGAAATAAATCCAAAGTAAAGCTAAATTTGTCACTTAAAAGTCGTGAAATCAAGCTCGCACGATGTTTCAGCTCACATTCCCTAACTTGAATTCCTCCAATGAAACGGCAGGATAATAAGCGTCAGGGCATCTCTATGTATATAAGACCTCTATGATCCGTTCTACATGAATGGAAAGATGTGTTCTGGAACAAACGTTGATATTATATCTCTTGATTCACAGGCATGCACATTGACCCAGCAGTGGTGCAAGAATGCGAATGGCACGTCAGTCACCAGATCTGCAGTGATGTCGCCCGGCTCTGACGATGGCGCACAGCCGCCGTGTCCGCGGTCTCCGTCGCCGCCGCGGTATGCGGCGCTGGGCGGCGACTCGTACATGTCGCGGTCTCGCCATTGGGGGCCGAACGATTCGCGGCTCCCGCCGACCCCGCCGGCGACGAGTTTCCTCCGGCGAGTCCTGCGCCATCTGGCGTGGTCGACGCTGCCCGGGAGGTTCCTGGCTGGCAAGCTGCTGCTGTGTCTACCGACGCACAGAGGTCAGTAGCTCCGGTGCCGGCCCTGCAGTGCTCTGAGAGAGCGTCGAGACCGCCTAACCGATTCTGTCCCTAATTAAGGTCTTTGTAAATATGTGTTCATCGTGCATCGTTTGTGATGTGAGCCGCGTGATCAGCTGCTAACTGATAATTTTTGCTGCGATTTTGCTGTGGTCGTTGCTGGCGAATTGTTTAGTAATGTCGTGGCAAGCTGGTTGGGGACGCCCGTCTGGCTGTTCTGTTGACGGAACGCGCCGATCGACATGGCATGCAGCCATCCAGCGCCTCAAATCGGCGAATCTGTCCAGCGTGGTCTCAATGGAGTGCTGAGCGGTGCTAAAGGACATGGTTATTTTCATGCGTTCTGTTCACAGTTTTGTCGTGGCTGTGCTGTCCGCGGCCGTGCTCCACGGTTGCGACGTCTGCGGCCAAGCTGCCCGCTGCTGAGCTCCGCGGCCGAGCTGCCAGTGGCCGCGCTCTGCGGCCGTGCTCTGCGGTCGTGCTCTGCGGCCGTGCTTCCCGTGGCTGGGCCCTCCGTGGTCCCGTGATCGTGGCCGCGGCGAGGGTGCCGCGACCTGCGCGGTGCCGTGCGCTGCAGTGATGGCGCCGCGCACTGTGCAGTGATTGTGCCGAGCGCTGCGTACGCGGTGGGTGCCGCGCGCCGCGCTGTTGAGCGTGCCGTATTCGGACGGTGGCTGCCGCGCGCAGCGTGGTGATTGCTGCGCTCTGCCATGAGTGCCGCTCACTGCCGTGGCCTGAGTGCCGCGCTCGGACGGAGTGCCACGCGCCGTTGTGTTGCGTCGCCTTCTGCCTTTTGATATGTGCTATCTCCGAATTTAATGTTGCTTGTTGCCGATGTTCGCTTCTTTTCGTTAAGAGGGTCGGGTATAGTCGGTCGATTTATTCGCACCGTTTGATTTCGTACCGGCTTCTCTTCTGTTTCTTATTGTTTTCTGCGATGTCACTTGTCCGATTTTATATCTGATTAATTCACGTATTTAAGTATTTATTTTATATTGTCATAATAACTTACGGCGCTGTTCCTTTATTTTCTGTTTAGTTGCAGCCCTAGTACCTTAATTTCCGATGTCTCTTCGGTTTGTTGTCGCTCGCATGTTCAGAGAGTCCTGGTTGGCCGGCGCGAGTGGCGGTTGTGGAATACAAGCTCGTCTGTGAAGGTTGCGTGTCGGAGCCGGGTTGGCGAGGCGGGACCCGTCTACATTTCAAACACCACTGCATTTCTCTCATCAAGACGCGTCGAATGATGAATAATATGACCTCAAACATAGGCGCGGGAACCGGGGAGGGGGCAGTAGGGGCAGCTTGCCCCCCCCCCAACTCTGGGGCCGTGGGGCCGTGTATCTTATGGTCAGGGCGCGTGTTTGAATTTATTTTCGGGGGTTGGGTCACTTAACTTGACCTGGTGACCTGACCTTTGATGACCTGGAGCTAAAATTTTCAAAGCCTGTACGGAAAAGACGTATAATAAGCTGTGCCAAACCGTTTTTGAGATGTCAGCGAAAACCTGGGGGGGGGGCGTGAAAACGCCGAGCGGGTTAATGAACCAGTAAGACGCCTTTCGGGGCGATACGCGAGCGAGCAAAAGGATGAGCCCTGCAAGTGCGAAACTGAGTGGGGGTATTTCCAACTGACTTTTGCACGGCACCCTGCCAACCGGTCGCTATCGGTGTATCAAATCTGAGCACAATCGGTCCAGCCGTTCCTGAGATCTGGAAGCGGCACCATGCACGTGCGCACTTGCAAATTAGGTCTCAACTGACTTTTACACGGTCCCCAGCTAACCGGTCTCTATCGGTGCACTAAATTTGAGCGCAATCGGTCCAGCCGTTCCTGAGATCTGGAAGCGGCACCCTCCACGTGCGCACGTGTAGTACACTTCAACGTTGGTCGTTGACGCATTGAAATACATTGCCAAGTTGCTCCTACTCAGAATTTTCCGCCATTCTACGAAAGCTTGCTTCGCTCGCTCCGCTGGCTCGCTTGTAATAAAGCACGTAAAAAATATGCCAACTTAAAGTGCAATTTAAAAACAAAAATGTACGTCCACCTATGCACTACATTTCAAAGCAAAAAAAAAAATGTCCACTTATACCGTTATCTCAAGACAAAAAAAAATATGTCCACCTAAAAGTACAGTCCACCAAAACGCTTTTTTGCACCCAAATTCGACCGGCTACCACATCAAAACTAACCGCCATAGGACAGCGGCCAGTTGATATTTTCTTGCTACCTACCTGACGTGTGCTGCCATCTATAAGTCATCCTCCCAGCATGCGTAGTTTTCAAGTCCACCGAAAGACGAAATACGCTAAAGTCCACCCATCCCGGAATTTGGAATATGTGTGGTTTATGTTGGGATTTGGTTTGGTATCGGTATTCAGGTTTTCTCTAATTGACATCACTTATGGATATACACTTGAGCAATGAAACAAAAATATCCGCACATTTTTTAAGACAGTGATGCATAGGTACTGTGTCTTGTAGGGCATGTAAGATATTTCCTCTTCAGACTCATATCATATGTAAAAAATCCAAATTGTGATAAATGAGTAGTTTTGTGGAAGCCAGTGCAACTTTTTTGAAAGGACCCAAATGCTAGCGTATGATAAATATTCAGAATAGATACCCTGCATTTGCAGAACAAAAGGAAAGAAGAACAAAAGTAGCACGTATGTATTTGACATCACGTCTTACTTATTATATGTATTCGTTGTAGGTGTTCGTCTTCCAAAGAGGTGCTTCATAATATGCACAGTCCTATATGATCTTCGCATCGTCGTTGTGTACCAATCTAAAAATGACCTCCTTTTTTTCCTTTAGTTAACCCTGTTCCCTTATCCCACCACCTTGTCTGTTCTAAAATCCTGACTAATCCAGTACAGACAAGCCCACACCAGCCTGCCTGGCGTATGGTAACCGCATCCGAACCAGCGTGGTCCCTCGCTGCGCCGGCCCGGCTCTGGCCTGCCTCCCGTACCGTGCCCCGGCTCCAAGGTCATCCGGCCTGCAACGGCCCGCCACTGACGACGACTTATCCGAGTTTGAACTGAACGCTCAACGGCCGGTACCGGGAAACGAATCGGTTACCATGGCGATCACGCCGGCGTCCTGGAGGTGCAGGGGTCAGTGGAGTCATAGATCCGGCTTGGCTGTGTAAGGCGGCATCGATATGCCACTGGTGTCATGCCCTGTGGGCTGTGAGCATGACACATATTTTTAAGTTGAAGTGACATTGCCTTTGTTTGAAAAAAAGCAGTCGGTGACCGGCGTATGATGTGGGCTGAGGTAAATGTAATTGCGAAGATAATAACGGTTGAGGAAGAAAATTGACCGAAAAGAATCATTGACACTGATGATAGTTGATTGAGATTTCGAAGTAACTAAATAAAAGATCTTGATGTGTTTACAAGATGCAATTTATGAAAATCTCCACTATGCAATATTATGTCAATTGTCAAGTATAAGCACTTCCATTCAAGTCGTTAGCGTCTTATACATGAGACTAACCCGGCTATTGATGAATATTTGATCTAGCTATATGGACACCATTTGTCAATTGTCAATCGACCAACTCCTACTTCTTTTATTAACCCGCGCCCCGCTGGGGGGTGGGGGCAGAATCTGCCCCCTCCCGTTTTTCGCCAATAACTTATAAACGCGTTACGTCAGCGACGTCAAACTGTCAGTACCTTATCATACATCAATTTGACACGTTCCCTAAAAATTTGAGCGAAATCCGTCCGAAAATGTTTGAGAAAATGACGTTTTAGTGACGTCATGTTCGCCATTTTCGCCTCAAAAACGGCAAAATTTCAAACGCCGCTAACATCATCATTTTTAAAGGAATCAAGACGTAACAAATAAGTTTATACGTGATTTTACTTTGTCTATCAAATGGCTATCTCGATTTTTGAAAATGTTGGATTTTGGCCCATTTTTTTCTTAAAAAAAACTGACTTTTGGGAAAATATTTATAAAATCAAAAATTTTAAGTGTGTCGAAAAACCGGAATATATGTCAGAGAAGTGGTCTATGTGCACCTACATACCACTTTTAGAAAAACCAGTTCAAAATGTGGGAGTTATTAAAAAATTTATGACGTCATGACACACAAAATTTTTGAAAAATGTTTTTTTTTGGAAGTTCTAGACCTCGTACGGAAACAAAAATAGCACAATTCGATTCGCCGTGAAAAATTGCATCAGATAGACACCTTTTTAGGCCGTAACAACCAACTTCAAAATTTGACCTCACTTGACCTGACCTTGACCTGACCGCGACCTGAAATTCATCCAGACGTGGTCCATATTGAGTGTGCCTATTGAATTCTATGAATAAAATGACCCATAAAACATGTGTCGCACATGCCCTTTTTTATATTTTGTTTTTGGTGACCTGACCTGACCTGACCTGACCTTGACCTTGACCTTTGAATGATATTGTATGCAAGGAATATTGTCTTGGTAGCCTAAGAACACGTTTTGGGCAATCAGTCTCCGTCCATTCTTCGGCAACTACGGTGCAAGGCCGATACTTAAGAAACTTGCATTTTGTACCCTTGACCTGACCTTGACCTGACCTCTGACCTACTTAAGCAAATTAAATTTGGCTCTTAACCCGCGACCTGGTGGGGGGGGGGGCTATTTTTTGCCCCCCCCCCTCCAGACTTTTCGATATATCTCCAGAACCGCTGCGCCGATCGTCACCAAACTTTCAGTACCCTCCCGGACATCAATTTCACACATTGTGACCAAAAATTTTCCAAAGGCTATGCTAGGTTGGCCGGAAATGACGTCAGAGTGACGTCATGTTCTGCCGTTTTCGACCCAAAAAAGGGTTTCGCGGGGAGAGCTGTCAGGCCTATAGCTTTGCAAATACAGAAAAATGATAAAGACATAAAAGCTGTAGAATTGACAGGGCTACAAAACTGCTATCTCGGATTTTTAAAATTTTTGGATTTTGACCCCCAAAAATCAAAAAAATATTTTTTTTTAGATATAATAATCGAAAAATCCAAAAAGTTTTTTGAATTTCGCAAAACCGAAATATATGTGATAGTCCTTACCGCCTTCCATCCACATACAAAATTTGAGATTGATACCTCTTTTTTTGGCGAAGTTATAGCGAAAAACTGTTCAAAATTGATGACGTCAAATTTTCAAACTCAATTTTTAGCAATTCTAGACCCCGTAGCGCAAAACAAAGACCACCATTAGACTCCCCGTGACGAGCTGCATCGAATCAATACCCATTTTTATGCAAAACTATCAACTTTAAAATTTGACCTTTTTTGGCCTGACCTTGACCTGACCTTTTTTTTTTATAAATTTAGTCCGAACCTTTTGATGGGAAGGATTCACAAGGACAGAGCCACCGCTAAGCAAAGCTTGTTGCGATGACCCTGCCCTCTACCCTCCGATCGCGCAATTCCAGTTCTATGGCAGAATTTAGCGTCCAAAGTTTAACGTGCGCACAAAGCCGCGCACGGCCGGTCCCCTCGCTGACTTCGCCTGGCTACGGCCTGCCACCACCCGCAACCATACCTGTCAGGAGGCCCATAAATGTCGAGCGCCCGTCGCGCCTCGAACCCGGACTGTCATAACCGGGAACGCGTGCTCTCACCACGCGGAGTCCAACGCTCTAACCAACTGAGCTACGGGACCGGCGGAAATGGCGGAAGACCGGGACCGGGAAGAACCGGGACCGGCGGAAACCTTGACCTGAACTTCACCAGAAAGTGACCTAAGCCGTACCTGATAGTCTTACAACCAACACCATTGAGTTGGAAATGAAAAATTGGCCATAAAACATGCATCACACAGCCCTAGTAAAGTTGGGCTCATGTGTCCTGACCTGTGACCCTTGGTGACCTGACCTGTGACCTGACCTGGTATTGTCAGTGACCTCTAATAGCAACATATCTACTAGGCAACTGACGCCCTATCGCTGATTCTCGACAA